ATTACAAAATTTAAAGACTGTAAACAAAAGCAACCTTGAGGCTTCCCTGCTTTCCTGAAGCTCTTCTACTGAGTACATTCACCTCATACTTTAGGTATTTCTGAATATTGATCGAAGTGTCTGTATATTGAAAATATTTCATCCTTGTCTATTTCTTGCCTTTCAACTTATTTTATGGAGTTTTTATAGTTTACTAGTAGCCCTGTGCACGAATCCGTGCGCCAGTAGCCTGCTGCCGCCCTCCAGTAGCTCTCCGCATGCTGCCCCACCCTCCTGTAGCTCCCCCACCACCTCCCCTCCCCATCTCATGGCTTGCTGCCCTGCCCCCTCCTGTAGCTCTCCGCTGCCTGCTTGTAGCTCGCTGCCCCACCCTCCTGCTGATCCGTGATCTGGTAGTTACGCAGTCGGTCATTACGCTTCATGGCATAACGACCATTTGCATATTACATTTTTATTATATAGGATTTGCACAGAATCTCAACATGTTTATCAATCTTCTATGACTTTTGTGTTTTACATACAAATACATTTTTATTTCAGTGTTATATATGTTATTTTATATTTTTTTACATTATTATTTAGTCACTGAAGTTTTTTTTTATATAAATGGTCCAAGATTGAAATTTTATTTTTGTTGTAAAAATCATGAATGAATATTGATTTTCTCACATGCTTTTGGGGCGGCAAATGTTAATATTTTATGGTTTTCCTTCTTTAATCTGTAATGCGGCATGTCATGCAAACAGTGCAGGTGCCAAGCAGCATACCTTCAGCCCTGCTGGAGTAGCATTTCTCAGAGAGAGCTCACAGACAGGGATCAGTAGTTCAGTGGATGAATCTCTTTTGCCTCATTCCACCTGAATCAAAACATAGAGATCTAATAAGGCCTATGACAAACTTCATTGTAGAAGTACGTTGACCATGAGCTATGGAGCTTTTAATGAATATTAGAGAAACACCAGCTACTTCATTAGCATGACCAGGGACCAGAATACAATCTATCCTCCTATATAATAAAAGGCTAATATGCAAATCAAGCGAATAGCGGAATGACCAGTCGCTATGATGTGCACTGACCACCAGGGGTCAGACACTCAACGAAGGAGCTGCCCTCAGTGGTCAGTATAATCCCACAGGGGGAGTGCCGCTCAGCCAGAAGTCGGGCTCACAGCTGGCGAGCACAGTGGTGGTGGTGGGTGCCTCTCTCGCCTCCATGGCAGTGCTAAGGATGTCCAACTGATGGCTTAGGTGGGCCTAAGCCATCAGTTGGACATCCTCCAAGGGCTCCCAGACTGTGAGAGGGCGCAGGCCAGGCTGAGGGACCCCCTCCCCCCCAAGTGCATGAATTTCGTGCACCGGGCCTCTAGTATATATATAAAAGCCTAAGTGACCATTATGATCAGACAGCTGGACAACCAGCCGGTAGCTATGACACACACTGACCACCAGGGGGCAGGTGCTCAATGCAGGAGCTGTCCCCTCATGGTCAGTGTGTTCCCACAGCCAACTTTCTGCGGCCAGCCAAGCTCCCATGGGTCCCTCCCCCTCAGCCAGCCCCAGTTGGGACTAGGACTGGGTGAGACAGCCCTGACCACAGGCCAGGCCGCGGGACCCCACCCATGCATGAATTCGTGCACCAGGCCTCTAGTAGTAATATAATGTGGCAGAACTTTGATTCTAGTACAATTCTGAGAGCATGGCATTCAAGGTTGATTGGCAGTCCCAGCCCAACTAAAATCTAAGCCTTGTGAATACAGTTAGCTTCAAGATGTTGCGTGTTAGTAGTGGGATTGCAACACAGTAAGTCATATCAGTATACATGATTGGGCTAGCACCAGCCTCCTGGCTGGCATAATGGGAGCTGGAGGTGGCACTGAGATCCAAATGTTGTTGGCCAGAATTGATGGCCATAGTTAATTTCCATGGAGCTTTATAGGACATCACATTTGTGAGGCCATCTTTCAGGGGACCAGTCTTGGACTCATTAATTCTCATTGGATATTTGTCCATGATTAATTTTTCTCTAACAGATCTGATTCATTTCACAGATCTTAGCTGCTTTAAGTAGGGTTTTTACAAGTTTACTTTTTAAAATGAGATTAACATAGTATTTGTTTTCTTATGCTCAGAAAGAAACTTAAATTTCCTTTTGAGTTAAATATATACAAGGTATCCTCTAGTAATTTAAAATTTTTAAAGTCCTATAGTTATATATCTAACTAGAGGCCCAGCGCATGAAATTCGTGGGTGGGTACGGTCCCTAGGCCTGCCCTGCAATCAGGGCCATCTTCCCCAGCTGCCCGCAGCCCGCCCTGCCCCCCGCTGCCACCCACCCCCGGTTTCCCGTTTGCCATTGGGTGATCAGTGCTTGACGGCCGGGGAAAGGGACCAAGAAATAATCAGTGCATCTCATAGTGACTGGTCCAGTGGTTGTTCTGCTATTAGGGTCAATTTGCATATTACCTTTTTATTATATAGGATATGATTTATTCCTGAATTTTTTCTTTTTAAGGGACCAGCTTTTGGTTTTACTGATTGTTATATACCAAAAATTATGTACACCTAAATTCATACGTTGAATAGTGTAAGAGAATGTCAAATAATTCTTTATCATTTTGAAATTGTAAATATATTGTTTTTAAACTTTGCTAGGTTGATATGTGACTTCTTCAGATTCATCCCAGTGGAACCCCTATTTCTTTTTGCTATTATAGACCTCTCCTTTCTTCTTTGTAGTATTTTTTATCCTTCATAAAATCTTTCTAAGAATAATTTTTTAAAATTCCCCCTTTGGGAGTACTGCAAAACTTTCAAACTTGACTGTCCTTGGTACAGCTGCATTTTTATTTCTATTACTGTTCACTATTATATTTATTTATTTTTTGAAAAGCATCCTTACAACTTCTCTATGAAATAATAATTTAAAATATATATATTTTGATTTTTTACAGAGAGGAAGGGGGAGGGATAGAGAGTTAGAAACATCAATGAGAGAGAAACATCGATCAGCTGCCTCCTGCACACCCCCTACTGGGGATGTGCCTGCAACCAAGGTACATGCCCTTGACCGGAATCGAACCTGGACCCTTGAGTCCACAGGCCAACGCTCTATCCACTGAGCCAAATCGGTTATGGCTGAAATAATAATTTTGCAGATAAAATTACAAGAGTTTAAATGACTCTCAAAGTTATACAGCCAATAATTGGAAGAATATGGACTCCTCTTAGACTTCGCTATTTTCAGAGCTGATAACATCAGATTTGGGTGGTTAGGTGGGAAGGTCAGTGAAACAGTCTGCTAACATTTGCCAAAGGGAATTTATATCTGCTATCATTAATTGTCTCGAAGATTGTGATAAAAGCATCTTTCATGAGATACTGGAAGACATCAGTCTGAAGGCTCCAGATGGAGATTGAAGGTGATGAAGAGTGCCACATTTTAATGACTAGCAAGAAATACACCTTGTAGACTAATATGATTTCCTACCTAAGGGAGATAACATATGAACCAAAGACAGAATAAACACTGAAAACCAACATTTACTGCAAAGAAAATGAAGTTTAGCAAGTCTTCAGAGCTAACAAGACTAACACAGTGATGAAAGGGGGCTGGTGAAATTTAAACTCTGATATGTGGCTAAAAAGAACATAGAGGAGCTGATAATCCAGCACAGGGAGTAGAGATTTTTGAAGAAAAACAGCCAGAATGCATCAATCATGAACCATTAAAGCATGACAACTTTTTAGAGGTCATCTAGCTCTACTCTCCTTACTTTACAGATGGGGACACTGAGGCCTTCTGAAGATTACACAGCTATAAAGTTGTATAACCAAGATTAGAAACTATATTTTTTTATTCCGAGTCCTCATCCTTTTCTACTGTCTCTTGATTATTATAAAATTTTAATTTATAACATTAAAATTATTAATTCAAGTTCTCTTTGAAAGTAGGCAGGTTTAGTAATGCAGTCTTTTTAAAAATAGGATCTTATTGATTTTTAGAGAGAGAGAAAGGAAGAGGGATAGAGAGAACCATCGATGAGAGAGAAACATCATTGGTTGGCTGCCTGCTGCATGCCCCCCACTGGGAATGGAACCCATGACCTCTTGGTTCCTGGGTTGATGCTCAACTGCTGGGCCACACCAGCTGGGCCAGTAATGCAGTCTTATAATTATTGGTTACAGGTGAGATATTATCTAGAAAATAGAAGTGATTCAAATTGAAATTATAAGGCTGAAATGCCCCAACTTTGAAGACAGCAATACAGATACCATTACTTTTCTCAAACCTAGTGGAGTTGTATTATCTGGGATAGCCTGTGGTTAAAAATGGATTACTTCCTATAACAACAATGTTGGAGAGCAAAAGAATAATGACAATTTTGTTTGTTTGTTTGGAAGAACAGTCATTTTTCTCATTCACATACAAACAATAAAAGCAATTTCTATTATAAGTAGCCATTTATCTTCATTCCTTTTCTGTATGTATTTATTCACACAGTCTCATTAAATTCTTATATTGTTCAGAACTCCTTGGGTATGTTGTAATTTTACCATCTGGGATGCATCAGTCATAAAATGTATATACATTGTAATAAAAATTGATGCTTCACAAGAATTCACATTGTCTGTATTCCATCTTAAAGACCTTTGTTCTGTTGAACAATGGAACTATGTAATATTTCTATTCAAGAAAAATTGATCTTATTTTTTTTCAGGCTCTGCTATAGCATTCTAAAATAACATTCATGAAATACAAAAATCTTTGGAGAATTTATGTAAAATCTATATGGAATTTTCTTATTTTCTTTAGCTCACGATTTTCACTTTAATACTACAAATTATATATAATGATTATACTGTATTAAGTTGTCTAGAACTGTTTAATGGAGTTCTGCAGACCTTGGTGGTTTCTTTAATAAATTCAATTTTACTAGTAATGCATTGTAATGTATTGTTACAAATAAAAATTGCTCACTAATCCCTTTCCCATCTGTTAGAATATTTATCCAGTTCCAGATGCTTCACAGAAGTATAGGAGAAATTGAACAAAATTAGGTAAGTGATATGAAAAATCCCTGCATGTAAAGCACTTTATAGGCATTTTGGAATCAATATACAGAAGCAATTTTTCCATCATCAATTCATTCATTGCTGGCAACACAAACATAATGCCTCTTCCATCAGATAGCTTCCAGTCTAGTGGTAGGAAGTAGTCATTACACATCACTTTAATATGAAGCAGAATGTTATACATACCAGAAGTTAAGAGGACATTAAGGTCAAGCAGGGAGAAATTGCAGCTGGTTGGGGATATCCAGAAAAACTTCTTAAAAGAGATGGTATTTGAGGTAGATTTTAAAAGTGGAAAATTTACAGATTATGATAGAGTAAGGAGGATAACATGAGCAAAGACATAGAGACAGAACACATTGGATATATTTGGGATATATCAAATAATGTAAGTTGATGCAGTTTGAACGTTTAAGAAAAGAAAGTAATGCAACCATTTAATGAGCACCTACTATGTGCTGTGCTTCTTACTTCATACCATGCATGCATTATTTTAGTGAACATTCAGAACACTCTATGAGGTGCTGGTAGTATTCCCACTTTCCAGGTAAAAATATTTTAAATGGTTTGCCCAAGGCCACACAGCTATTCAGTAGATATTCTTAGATCTTAATGTAGGTCTGACTGGCATTAAACCCATACTGTTAATCACTACATTATACAGTTGCTCCATTTTGTGAGGAATAGTTTATATAATACTACAATCTTTACAAGAAATGCTAAAATTTTTCTTTAAGCTTAAATGAAAGCTAATCAGTAATATGAAAACATGAAAGTATAAAACTCATTGGTAAAGGTAAAATTCAGAATATTATGTAATGGTGATGTGTAAATAACGTATTACTCTCATAAATGTTAAAAGACAGAAGTATTTTGTCTAGCTACAAAACATTTTAATGCATACACAACATAAAAATATGTACATTGTGATATCAAAAACAAAATGTGGGGGAAAGTGCCCTGAACGGTTTGGCTCAGTGGATGGAGTGTCAGCCTGCAGACTCAAGGGTCCCAGGTTTGATTCCGGTCAAGGGCATGTACCTTGGTTGCGGGCACATCCCCAGTGGGGGGGGGGGGGTGCAAGAGGCAGCTGATCGATGTTTCTCTCTCATCGATGTTTCTAGCTCTCTGTCCCTCTCCCTTCCTCTCTGTAAAAAATCAATAAAATATATAAATGTGGGGGAAAGTAAATGTGTAGAGCTTTTGTATGTCAGTGAAGTTATCAGCTTAGGATGGACTATAGAATGTTTTATGTAAACTTTATGGTAACTACAAAGCAAAAGCTTATACTGGATATACAAAAGATAATGAGAAAGGAATCAAAGAATACCACTACAGAAAATCACAGAGCATGAGAGCAACCGAAGAAAAAAGGAACAAAGGATCTACACATCCAGAAAAGAATTAAAAGGTTACTAGCCCTTTTTTTTATAAAAAAAATACTCTAAATGTAAATGGACTAATTCTCCAATCATACCTGGAAAGTGAAGGGATGAAAAATATTCCATGCAAATGGAAACCAAAAGAAAGCAGAGGTTACGATACTAATATCAGACAAAATAGAATTTAAGTAAAAACTTGAAAAAAGTCAAGGTTATTATATAACTAGAGGTCCAGTGCACGAATTCGTGCACCTTGAAAGGAACTATGGGCCACGAGGCTGCAGTGGGCACAGGGGCGGGTCTTGGCCCATCCTCTGTGTCCCTGCCCAGCCCCTCCTGCCGCGGCCCCCGGGACCCAGTCTGCCGGCAGCCCCACTCCCGCTGCCACCGCTCCCACATGCTGATGATGCCGGCCCCACTTGCACCGCTGATGGCGTGGAGCAATTGGGGCCGGAGCCGGCAGTGGATGCAAGTGGCTGCTGTTGCCCCAATCACCCCTCAGGAGCAGGGGGAGATAAAGAAGCCCTGAGGGGCGATTGGGGTCAGCAGCCACCGCTCGTACCCACTGCTGGCGTCCGGTGCTGGCCCTGATCACTTGGCGCCAGACTTCAGCCTGGCAGCGGGTGCAAGTGGGGCTGGCGCTGGCAGCAGGTGCGAGCGCCGGGTGTGACCGTGGCGCACGGGAGCAAAGAATTTTCAGTAACCACCAGAGGCTCGCCCTGATGACAGCGACCAGTGCCCCGCTGTGGTCTGGTGCCCCCACTCACCTGCTCTACCATCCTGCCATGGCTGACACCCACCATGTTCTGCACTCTGCTGCCTGCTGCTGATGCCTGCCATGTTCCACGCGCCACCTGGTGGTCAGCGCACATCATAGTAACTGGTTGTTCGATTGTTCTGCCGTTCAGTCTATTTGCATATTAGCTTTTATATAGATAGATGATAAAGGTGTTAATTTATCAAGAGGATTGAAAATGTTTATGCATCCAGTGTTGGAGCATCAAAATAAAGAAGCTAATATTAATGGGAGAAATAGATAGCAATATAATAATAGGGGATTTCAATATGCCCCTATCAACAATAGGTAGATCACTCAGACAAAATCAATACAGGACCATTTGATGTAAAGTACACTTTAGATGAAAAGAATCTAACATATAGAGAACATTCAATAGTAGAATAATACATATTCTCAAATATACTTGCAACAGTCATCAGGATAGATCAAACTACGGCCTGATAGCAATATAATAATAGGGTTTGAAATGAATAAAACTAATAAAAATAAAAAAAAAACCGTACCCTTTTATGTAATGATGTTTACTATGAATTTATATTAGTTCACACAAACACTCCATCCATGCTTTTGTTCCGGCCCTCCGGAATAATACATATTCTCAAATATACTTGCAACAGTCATCAGGATAGATCATATGTTAGGCCAACAACCAGACTTAACAAATATAAGAACATTGAAATGAAATCCAGCATCTTTTCTGACCACAATGGTATAAAACTAGAAATCAATAACAGAAGAGAAACTGGAAAATTTTCTTTGGATGCATTCACATGAGTGGAATTAGTAGGTAAAAAATTGTGAATTGTGTCAATTGTAATATATTGGCAGTTTTTTTCTAAAGCTATTTGTAGTTATCCTGGAAAGTCATATGATAAGTGAGTTTCAAAACATGTAATTAAATCATGATTTAAGAGCTTTTTTAAATGGTGCATATTCTTGGCTAGTAGTGTTCTACTAACTCATTAATATAGCATATCTAAGATTTCTTTAATTTAAAAATAGGTTTTGCATTGCAAAATAAGAGGCTAATATTTTTACCTGTACTTTATTAATTACAATAATTATTAGTTTAACTATATTTTAGTATTATGCACATAGCAATTATTGTTGAAGTTAGAAATTGAGGCCTTAATCATACAATGCTAACTTATAAGTTTAAAATTTTTATAATAAGAAAGCTCTGATAAATGTTCTTTTTCAAATCACTTAAATTATAATAAAAGGTAAAATTATACATGCAAATTTTTTAATTTTCTTAAAGCATTTCAAATTTTCATATGATGAAATGTTTTTCTGTAATTGATTTTCCTCAGAATTTGAAAAAGAATGGGCTAATCAAGCCATGCTATAATATATATACGCAGAGGCAGTACTGCTTAGTAGGTAATATCACCAAATTTGGGACCAAACTGCCTTCATCTTAATTCTACTCTACCATATATAAGCTCTGGAACCTTACAAATTTCTTTGCTTCAGTTTTTCTTTAAAATATTTCTTTAAAAATGGTTATACTAAGGTTGTTGGGAAGACTATGTAAGTTGTGTGCATGAGTCACTTAGAATGATACCTGGATCGTAGCATTCAATAAGGCTTAGCTATTTTTTATGGCAAAAGTATTGGATATCTACCAGCTGTGTGTGATATGGTAGATTAATAGATATTAACCTCTAGTCTTCTGCTTCATCATACTGTTCTTGTTTTTAATTTTGGAGCATTTTGAGCCCCAAGGAATTGATGCATCTATTTTGTTTCTGGGTAAGTGGAAACACAACATGCTCAACATGTATAATCTTTATAAGGATAGAGAGTAGGTGGGCAAAGAGGGTATTTAAAGAGCTATTTCTCAGATTTTGGATTGAACTTATACTCTTGAATCCTTATTCTTTTATTTTCCTCTTATTTTCCAGATTAAATTCATTTATGAAAAAAGAAAAATTTTACAGTAAGATAATAGTAGACTGTCGTAACACTGCAATGGATTCCTTCATGGAAAACAATACATATATAAACAAAATGTGGGTTCAATGTGAAAGTTGTTTGAAATGGAGATTGTTGTCAACTGAGGATGCAGCCAGAGTTGATCACAATGAATCATGGTATTGCTACATGAACACTGATTCAAAATATAATAAGTGCTCTATTTCTGAAGAAGACTTTCCTGAAGAGTCTCAATTTCATCGAAGTGGATTTAAGATTGTCTATTCACAGCTACCTGTTGGTAGCCTGGTTTTGGTAAAATTCAAGAATTGGCCAAGGTAAGATTTTTGCTATCATCATCATATATAATAAAAGGCTAATATGCAACTGGTCGCTATGATATGCACTGATCACCAGGGGGCAGACGCTCAACGCAGGAGCTGCCCTCTGGTGGTCAGTGCGCTCCCACAGGGGGAGCACTGCTCAGCCAGAGAAGCCCTGAGCTGGGCTCATGGCTAGTGAGCGCAGCAGCGGTGGCGGAAGCCTCTCACCTCTGAGGCAGCGCTAAGGATGTCCCACTGCTGGCTTAGGTCCTAGGGCTCCCAGACTGCGAGAAGGCGCAGGCTGAGCTGAGGAACCCCCCACCTCCACCCTCCCACCCCTGCTGAGTGCACGAATCTTGGGGCCTCTAGTTATTTTATAATAAACTGTTGAGATATAGTCTTGCTAAGTTTATGAATTTTAAAACTTTTAAAAGAATCAACTTTTTCCTGTTGTTTGTCTAATTTCTTATTGTTTCCTGATGTCATCATAATTCTTTCCCTGATTTCTTTGGGTTTAATTCTACTTTTTTTAGTTTCTAATATTGGAAACTTAGGTAACTGACTTAAATCTATTTTTCCTCTTTTAAGTATTGCTTTAGCTATATCTCAAAAATTTTAGTATGTTGTGTTATATTGCCATTGAGTTTGAAAGATGTATTAATTTTCTTAGTATTTCTTCGTTGAAATGAGTTGTTGGAAGTATGTTTTTTTGTTTTTTTTTAATATATATTTTATTGATTTTTCACAGAGAGGAAGGGAGAGAGACAGAGAGTCAGAAACATCGATGAGAGAGAAACATCGATCAGCTGCCTCCTGCACATCTCCTACTGGGGATGTGCCCGCAACCCAAGTACATGCCCCTGACCGGAATCGAACCTGGGACCCTTCAGTCCGCAGGCTGACGCTCCATCCACCGAGCCAAACTGGTTTCGGCTGGAAGTATGTTTTTAAATTACCAAATATTTGGAGATTTAAAAATAACTTACTGTTACTGAGTTCTAATTTAAATCAATTGTAGTCAGTTTCATTGAATTGTATTCTATAGCCCAGTATGGCCTATCTTGAAAAGAATGTGTATTCTGTAATTGCTGCCTAGAAACCTAAAATATATTATTATTTTTCTCCTCCCCCTCTTTCTCCTTCCTCCTCCCCCTCTTGTTCCTTCTTCCTCTTTCTCTCCCTCCTTTCCCTCCCCTCCCCCTCTTTCTTCTCCTTCTTCTTCTTCTTCTTCTTTAGATTTTGTATATTTATTATTGTCTACCTCAATATTTCCCATTCCGGGTTGATTTTTCCAAGAATGTAATGTGCAGTATACATATAGTTTCAAGTTTTTTTTTCCCAATTACTTTTAAAAATTATATTTATCCTGTTAACATCGTTTTGATTTTCTTATTTTGGGACTTACATATATTACTTATGGTAGATCTTTGTTTATCGTTGGTATTTTTTCAACTCTTTTCATCTTTAAAATTTTAATTATTTTTTATTTTCCATCTTTTATCTTTCTGAAGGTATTATCAATTGAACGTAATGTCTTTTGTGTTTCTTCCCAATTAGTCTTTATTGAAAAATCTTGAAATGTTTTTATGAGTTTTGTCACCTGTCTGTTCAAATCTTCCTTTTCTTCAAAACCTACTTTTTTAGTTTCTCTAATTCTAATTTATATTTTTTTACAACCTACATTATTTTTTTAATTTGTATTAATTCAACCTTTAGTGTTATATTCCCACTTTTATTTGTACCATCTCTTTTCTTTATTCTTATTGGTCCTGCCCTATTAAACTTGGATTATACTCCCAACAGTTTCTCCTCAGCATGAGCTTTCGCTCTGAAAAGGAGCTCTGTCAGTTAGTTTTAAGTGTTCATAGGGCCCAGGCTGCTCTAACGCTTTCAATTTTCTTGCAGTCCCCCTCACAATTTTGGCTGCTGTACTCAGTTTGACTTTCCAAAGAGAACTTACGGTTTTAAGGTTCTTATGTCACAAACACATCAGAACTCTGGTTGCCTGCCCCCTCCCACTTTGTTCTCTCTCATATATAAAGATGCTAATAATGTGGGTCTTGTAAGTGTTGGTAGTTTGTACCTACATTTTGCATGTGTATAGCTCAGTGGTCGGCAAACTCATTAGTCAACAGCCAAATATCAACAGTACAATGATTGAAATTTCTTTTGAGAGCCAAATTTTTTAAACATAAACTATATAGGTAGGTACATTGTGATTAATTAATTAGGGTACTCCTACGCTGGCCTTTGCTAAAAACGTCCTCATTTTATAATAATAAAGCCACCAACACAAAATAATTACAATTTTTAAATTGATGACAAAAATACCTATAGGATTTGCAGCTGTTTGGAAAAATACAGGTAACTTTATGCTTCGAGTAGGTACTTTTGTCACCCGCGCGCAATTTGCGGACTCGACTAGCACTAACCACTGCACAATGAGACTGCTGACTGACTGGCTCACTCAACTCATGCATGAATCATGTGCGCCTCCCCTGCGCTGCATATCCCTCGGCCCGCCTGAGCCTCGTCTCCCGTTGCCCGACTGACCGACCGACCGACCGACACCCCCCACTTCTTCTAACGCCACTTCTTCAAAATAGACTTGCCCAGGCCAAAAACCGACTTCTGTGCATGGGCCACGAAGTTTCAATCGCACTGTACGTGCGCGCCTGCACGTGGTATTTTGTGGAAGAGCCACACTCAAGGGGCCAAAGAGCCACATGTGGCTCGTGAGCCGCAGTTTGCCGACCACTGGTATAGCTTATCAATTAGTTTTGTTATAGAGGTTTTGTGTCAGGTTTTGCCTTTCTGTTATTAAGTGTTCTGCCTGTATTTATGGGAAAATCAGGAGATTCTAAAACTATAACACCATTGCTGCCTTCTTCCCAGAATCCCTTGCTATTTTATATTACATTCTCCTACTTAACATTCTTAAAGCTGGGATACTCTAGCTCATATTACCTTGTTTGCATTCATATTGAACTATTTTGCATGAAGAATATGTTTGGTTTCATAAACTGTGCTGAGCTTATTCTAACATACACCTAAGACACACACAAGAGGCCTTCAAGTCATATACCTAGATTTGGGTTGAATTATGTCCTCCAAAATCACATGTTAAAGCCCTAACCTCAGAATGTAACTGTATTTGGAGTTAGTGCCTTTAAAAAGGCAATTATGTTAAAATAGGCTCTTAGGGTGGACCCTAATCCAATCTGAGTGATCTTATAGGAAGAGGAGATTATATACAAAGAGACACCAAGGATGCACAGAACAAATACCATATGAAGCCATCTACAAGTCAGGGAGAGGTTTCAGGAGAAACCAACTCTGCTGACACATTGGTCTTGGACTTCTAGCCTCCAAAATGGTGAGAAAATTAATTTCTGTTGTTTAAGCCACTCGGGTTGTGTAATTTTTCTATGGCAGCCATAACAAACTAATACATTTAATATCTTTGCAAATGTGGAAATTACTCTGAGATTTGTACATTTTGTTGCTGAGAGCTTTTCTAGGGATCAAATGTGAAATATTGTATGGGTGTGTGTATATATATATATGTGTATATATATGTATATCTTCTATATATATATATAAAACCCTAACATACAAATAGACCAAATGGCAGAACAACTGAACAACCAGTCGTTATGATGTGCGCTGACCACCATGGGGCGTGCGGAACATGGTGGGTGTTGGTAGCAGGCGGCAGAGCACTGAACTCGGTGGATGTTGGCATAGCACAGCGGGATGGTGAAGCAGGTGAGCGGGGGCGCCAGACCAAGATGGGGCGCTGGTCACTGTCATCGGGGCGAACCTCTGGTGGTTACTGAAAATTCTTTGCTCCTGCATGCCATGGTCCTGCCCAGTGCTTGCACCTGCCAATAAAGTAATACTTTCTTTTCCTACAGCAAACTCTATGGAAAATCAAAATATAATAGTTATATTTACATCCACATTGTGAATTAGCACACACTGATGTACTTATAAAAATACTGATGCAACCTCCTGCCTTTGGACTATGTCTCTCTGCTTTGTGGTGGAGATATCTGCATGTACTAGGAAGAGAAAACTATCTCTATAATGCTTAAGCAGCCTTGATTTTTAAAAATTGCAAATAGCATTGTATTCAACTAAAAAGAGCATAGAAGTTAAAAGTAAAAGAGAACAGTGCATATCTTATTTAGTATAGTAGGACACATTGTCAAACAGAAGCTAGGCTCTGTTTAGGATAACTACCTTGGGCATATTTACACAGACATACAAAGCTTTCTCATGAATATGAAAATTAATTTATAGAAAATATATTTGAATCCTAATGTAATGTAGTAAAACAGTTTAGTAATAAAATATGTCTTTAGGTTAACAAACCAGTCCAGTGATACATTCTAGATATAGTATGTAAATTTATAAATTGATATTTCTACTAGATCCTTTCAGTATTACAAATTATTATTTAATTACTTTGTATTTTTTGCCTATGGATTGATATACTGTGTGTGTGCCCGTGTGCACGCGCATGAGTGGGAAATTTCTTCTCCCCAACAACCCCTGCTTTTAGGCACAGCCCAGAGATTTCTTGACAAGTATAATGTTCAGTTAGTGATGATTCCAGCTCATCTATTCTGTTTCTCAAGGATTAGGAATGAGGCCCAAGTAAAATTTGCTCTCCTCTTAAACATCCAAACCACAGTTAAAAATAAGTCATGTACTTCTTCTCATTGGAAATAAATAAATTCATGCTTTAAGCTTCAATTCCTATTGAGGGCAATAGCTGTCATATTAAAGATCATTTTCCTGGATAAGAAATGTGTAAGATATCAGTGTCTTCATAATATACTAGAGGCCTGGTGCCAGAAATTTGTGCACGGATGCAGTGCCTAGGCCTGGCCAGTGATCAAAGCCCGAGCATCTGGCATGGAAGGGCAGGTCCCAGCTGACCTCTGGGCCCTGGGCAGCACCTGGGCCCCTGGGCCCCCACGTACCCCCCTCTGCCCGAGTCATTGGGCCCCCACCTGGCTCCCTCAGTGCCTGGGAGCCCAGTGGCAGCCCTGCCCCCCCGCTGCCGCCGCCGCTGGTTGCTGTCTGTGGGGCGATCAGGCCCCACTCAGCTCCCTCAGTGCCTAGGAGCCAAGCGGTGGCCCCACTCCCCACTGCTGGTCATCATCTGCAGGGAGATCGGAGGGCTGATCGGGCCCCACTCACACCCGCCTTGGCCTGGTGCTGCCTGCTCACCTGCTCCACCATCCCGCCATGGTCCTGCTCTCGTCGGGGCCCATTGGGGCTGGCAGTGCCTCACTGCCACCCACTGCCAGCACCACGTTGCGGACGCCTGCCATGTTCTATGCCAGCCCCTGGTGGTCAGCGCATGTCATAGTGAGCAGTTAAAATCCTGGTTGAACTCCTGGTTGAGGGGACAATTTGCATATTAGGCTTTTATTATATAGGATTTGCACTTCCCCTTGAATTTACCACTTGTTCTGCCAAAATGTTCTCCTTCCCTCCTAAGGGGATTATAACACCAGGTACCTTTTTGACTTTGTTGTATTTGTACATTTTACACCCACAGATTCTAAAATTGATCATACACTTCCCTTGTAATTCTGATACACTTCCATTGGGCTGCCTATTCTTACTCTCCCTCTTCACCTTTAAGCTTCAGAATTTCTCATCAATATGAAAGTGAAAAATTGGGAAGTAGACGTGCACAATATGCTGTCATCATTGACAGTTTTGGAACTGAAATTGAAGTCAGAGTGAGGGCAAAAATGGACATCAGCTTTTTGTGAATCACAGCAAGTCAGAGAAGATGATAGATGTAGCAGCTGCAGGGAAGTAATCATGTTTTCTACATCTATTGCCTCTGCTCAGCTCTTCCTACTGTTTAGGAACATTCTGTGTTAGCTGAGATATACAGACTAGGAGTCATGATTCCTTTGCACCGCCTGGAGAAATACAAAAGTGCCAGAGTTATTTAGACATTTGACAGAATTTCGCATAATTCATCTCTGAATCAACATGCAATATTTTCTATAATATAGCATGTTTTTAATAATGAACAGAAGCTTTTTTTCTTTTGTTGGCATTCAATAATTTTTAGAGTCATCTTTTTTATATATATTTTATAGAGTAGTGATTTAGATTGAAGACTCTTGGGCCCAATAGGTTTGATGTAGAAACAGTTATATCAGAATTTGTGTCAGAAAAATACCAGCTCATCTTACACATAATTGCAAAATATTTCTTTCATGTCTTAAGTGTTAGAAATCCTGAGACTGACACTGAATGGAGTAGTTGCTATGCATAAATTTGCTATTGTTTGGCAATGATCCTTTTAAAAATTGCTGTGAGGTGTAAATCAGTAGTATTAAGCATGAGCCCCTTATATTTTACAAAAAGTTTAAACAAATATAATGTAACAATCAGTTTGGTTCTTTTAAAATAGCTGTTAATTGAAGCACCTAGTTGTTCCTTGGTGTTCAATAAGTTGGGGGTCTCCATTGCAGCTGCCACTTATTCTTAGTCGTTTGTCTATTGAAGTCTTCTTTTGACTGGGTTTCTTCAGAAAGTGGATTTCCAACTTAGTTTTAAAAGATGAACTCCACTTGAGTTTTACTCTTAAGCACAGCACAATAAGAGCTTTCACATGTTGTTATGTGAACCCGATAATAACCAGACAGTCTTCATTTAAGTCCTGAACCACCGTTTGTTTTCCATTGTCGTTTCCTTTTCTTCCAAATTATTAGGCTTGTTTGGGTTCCAGATAGTGTGACTCAATCTGTAATCCACTAGCCCCTCTTCTTCCATGATGGAAGGTTACCAAGGCAGCCTTCTACCTCCCTTACCCTAGAGAGGCCCAAAGCCACAGGACTCTGCTCAGCATCAGGGAACAGTGGATAGCTGTTCCATTCTCACACTCTATCATCTCTGGTGACTGGTGCACCTAAGTCACCACCTCCTTGCAGTTCTACTTGGGACTTATCAGCTTCCTGGGATCAAATGTTTTTACCTTAATAATGCTAAGCATAAACTCTTTTCATTAATCTATAATCTGTGAAACTTTTTTATAGTTGGCTATGGTAGATACATTTCTATATTTATGACTTCATAACTTTAATATCAATTGATAATTTAGTAGGATATCAATAATCTACAGTCCCCAAGTCCAAATAATATATGGATTTTATATTTTTGTGATTTCAGATTCTTTGCAGCATGATTTGTATGCATCCTTTAGATTTTAAACTTATCTGTTGCATTTATTTAGCTTTAAAATAATTATTGAAATTAGGCAAAAATATTTTTGTATTATTCCTTCTACTTCTCAATGGTACCAATTATCTTAACTATATACAGTTGTATTAGTTTGCTAGGGCTGCCATAGCAAAGTGTCACAGACTGGGTGGCTTAAAAATAACAGAAAATTATTCTCTCATAATTTTGGGGACTAAAAAAGTCTGAGGTCAAGGTGTCAACAAGGTTAATTTCATCTGAGGCTCTCTCCTTGGCTTGTAGATGGGTCTTGTGTCTTCACATGGTCCTCCCTCATATTGGATTACGGCCCACCTTTTAATTTAGTTACTTCCTTAAAGGTGTTGTTTCTAAACACAATCTCATTCTGAAGTATTGGGGGTTAGGACTTCAACATATAAATTGAATTGTACACAATTCAGTATATAATGATGATACTTCAAAATATTTTAATTTACCTAAAAACTAAAATGTGTAAAACACATGTTTGTTTCAATGTAGTAACGGCACAGTGAGGAACCAGAGTTACAGTGAGGCCTCATTACCTGCTGCAGGCCTCCTGTCTGGGAGAAGGCAGAACTAGAGTCTGGGTCTCCTGATTTGAACCTTGTTATCTTTTTACTCCATAGTGCAGCAAACTGAAATAGAACTTGATAGTTGTACAGATCTTTGAATGTCTGGGTATATTAGATATGTATATTTTGGGTCATGAACTATAAACTTCAGATTTCTATTGTTCATTATTTAGTCACAGCTTCCTGACCTTATTTAGTACCTTTTTTCCTGCTTTATTTTCTGAAGAATAGTAGGTCATAGTCTAGAGAGATTGGTAAACTAGTTACAACTAAGTTGCCAAATGAAAAAATAAAACATACCAAGGAATTTCTAGAGATTTATGTTAGTTAAAAAAAACCCTAAAGATTTATTTTTAGTAAAGGATAAATTTTATTTCCTGCACTGAGGATTTTTAGCAATGTGGTCACCTGTCAATGGAGCAGATGGGGGGGGGGGTCGGGGGAGGGACAATATTGACTGCTGAACTTACTTCTGCTTGTCCCACCGAAGTTACAATCTCCAGAGTTAGCACAGCCTGAGCTAACAGTACCCTTTTGGCATCCCTGGCTCAGGAAATGCCAACGCTCTCCTACCCCTTCAGAAGCCCTGTCAATGGGTTAACATTTTAGTAATTAGTCATTCTGATTGGTTAGAGTTGAGCCAGTCCTGTCATGATTCTGATGAATCTTTTTTCTTTTAGCAATACCTAATGTCTCTTACAGACCCTGGAGATCACCCCTTTGTCTTATAATTCTTTCTCATATCTCATGTATATCTTAAATATGTGACTATTTCAAAGCTTTCTATATCTATAAAGGCACAACTGATTACTTGTATCAAATGAATATCCTACTTTTAAAATGTGAATATGTTAAAGTTTATTTAATAATTTATTAAATTCAAAGAAGAAAGTTTGATATACGACTATGACAGATATATTGATGACTGCCTTTTTGAAAAGCATCAAAATAATTAAATATAATTTTCTTTGAAAGTTGGCCAGGGATACTTTGCCCTGATCCTTTTAAAGGTAAATATGTGACCTATGACCTGGATGGAAATGTTGAACAGTATCACATAGAATTCCTGGGTGATCCCCATTCAACATCATGGATAAATGCAACATTTGTTGGACATTATAGTATCACATTAAAGGTAAGTTGAAAAATCAAAACTTTATTCTTCTTGCACTTGTTTTTAATTATTGCCATTTTTGTCTCAGATCTTAAAAGATACATAATGATTAACTTTTATATTTATATAAACAAATAGTATATACTCTTTGTTTTAAACTCATATTTTTATTTTTAAAGCAGTTTTTCAAAGGAAGTATGGATATAAAAATAGTTATGGGGTACTTTAAAATTTTATTTTTCTAATAGACATATAGTATAAATCAACTGAGGACTTCATATAATTGTGTTTTGAAATAATCTTAAGATTATTTGGAAATTTTTCAATTCTTTTGAGAAAACTCTTAAGTTGTAGCTAACAGGGAAAATTAATTATGTAATGCAACCAGATTTTCAAATTTCAAATGGAATATTTCATTATACTAACTCTATCAGTATCTTTTTGATTCCTTTTAAACTTTAAATCACACAGTCCAATTAATGAATAGACTGGACTCTCAGGTTGATGAGAATAGGTAAACTGGACCTGTTTCCATGGATTTGGTTTAATTATTATGAATTAGCTCAGCTATCTGTCTGTATTTTAATATTAAAACTTTTCATCTGCAAATCGTGCTTTCATTAGAAATCTGGTTGATGTCAGAAATGTGGATTCCTTTTCCTCAGTTTGGATAGTGTCTATTTTTTAATGAGAAGCTTATGTATTCAAATACACATATGAGTGTATGTACATTTAAGGCGTGCCCTTTAACCCACACTATAAGTAAATCTGTGGAGATTTGAGGTACTTTAAAATGGGCTTTTACTCTGTCTTTGGCATAAGCAGTATATTTGCCCATTTCAGCTTGAAAACAGCTGGCCGGAAAGGATGTTTTATTTCAGTGTGGAATAACATCGCTTATATTCATGTCATGGGAGTTGTGAACCAGTCATCTTAATGTGAGCACCTTCTCAACTCTGACTTCTTGGATGTATGCCTGGGTACTTCTACTGACAGTCACTGAAGACAGGAAGGAGTGTTCTCCCTTCTCTGCCCCCTCCCCTTTCTAAAGGATGGGGAAGTCTAGCTTCTCATGAAGCAGACCTTAGAAACTTAGATATTTGATAATGTGCTAAAGAGTGGGACACTTTTTTTAAACATATTTTTTATTGATTTTAGAGAGGGATAGAGAGATAGAAACATCAATGATGAGAGAGAATCATTGATCAGCTGCCTCCTGCACTATCCCCTACTGGAGATCGAGCCTGCAACCTGGGCATGTGCCCCTGACCGGAATCAAACCTGGGACCCTTCAGTTCGCAGGCTGATGTTCTATCCATTGAGCCAAGCTGACAAGGACGAGTGGGACACTCTTAAGAAATTATATGTAAATATAAGTTTAAAAAAATCAAAGTGTGTTTTAAAATTGTCAGAACTAGTAGTACTTGTAGGATTTGACTCCTGTCATGATTAATTTGAGTAGTCTGGTATCAGTGAGCATACCATTAATCCCTGGGACAAGGAAAAAAATTTGATGCAAAACAAAGCCAACACACAAGAATCAGTAGACATTAGTTTTTAACCTTATGAAATCATTAAAGCAAACTTAGAAAGTCTTGCAAAGACCAGGAATTCAGGGCTGCTTAAATGAATGAAAGGCTGAGAGCAGAAGAAAGTAAAGTGTTGGTTTCTGCTCTTCCTCCCCCCTTTCCCAACTAGCCAGGCACTCTGGGTGGATAACTCACTGGGTGCCCACAGGCTCTGGGGCAGGCGCTGTCCTCTACTGTCATTCAGGGTACCTACCTACAGGCTCTGCTCTTGGCCTATACTCTTTTTTTCTTACCTGTGCCTTTTTTTCCCACTTATTCTCTTAGAGCTTGTATAATAGGGGTGCCTTCTTCTGTGGGTCTCTTCATTCAAGTCTGAAATTTTAGTTCCTTTTCACTTCAGTTCAGCTGGCACATGCCAGACTGGCTGTGCTCTGATTCCCCACTCCTGGCTACCTAAGATCTCAGCGTGCCAGGGAGGGGAGATTAACCCATGACTGAAGCCTCCTTGCTCCAATCGACTCAAGAAACACAAGGCAAGGTGGTAGACTCAGGGAATACAGACAACCAAGGTAGAAAAATGGTAAAAAATGATACGTCTGAGAAATTGGTTGAAAAGTATTAATTCCAAACTATGTATTACCTGGAGATAGCTGGGATTTATGTCCCTGTCTCCTGGAGATGGCGATAGTCTTGACTTCAACCTGTAGTTCTGTTACCTAGACCTCCAGGGGTTTAATCTTTTATTGTCCTTTTTGCACTGGAGCTCCTGTATCCTCAGATGCTATCTCTATATTGCACCACAGTGATCCAGATATTAAATTCATACCTCCTCCCCCCATTAGAAAGATCACTTACACAAGTAATATATAGTAGACAATGTAGACTTTCTTTAAGATTTTTCTAGAAGGGGTGGAGAAGAGATACACATTGTCCAATCTTTTTCTAAAACTCAACAAGGAATGAGAGGCACATATGACTCTTACTGGTTTAAGCTGTCTAAATCTTACTTCATACATTATTTCAACATCATTTTCTCCTAATTGTATAAGCTTAGTTTAACAAGTGATTAAATAATATTTCAGAATTTTCACTAATTGTGGACTATATTAATTTTGCAGTGTATGTTAAGGTGGGAGGGAAATAAGCTTTAATAAGTGAAAAAATAAGGGGAAAAAATAAGGGAAATGGAATGTTTTTAGTTTTAGATTATAAAAATTTAACTCTTTTATTTCATGTTTGTCTAGTTCTTTTTTTAAATAGATAATTTCCCCTGGTAGATATGTTTATGGGACCACTGAATTAGTAATTTTATTGTTTAAAGTGCAAAATAACTCTGTTATTGTCTATTAATACGAATGGTAGGGTTTTCTCCAATAAATAAAACTTATAGATACAGTGCAATATACTTTAGAAAACAGTTGAAGGCAATATTTAGATTGCATATTTGTAATTTATATTGGTTTATTCATACATTATTTTTTTCATTTATCATAAAATCAGTAGCTATAAAAAAAGCTAAAGTTCTCCCTCCATTTTAAAGAAACCTTGATTCTTTTGAAAGTTTGTATTTAAAATATATATCACTCTGATAATTACTCAGATAAAATGTACATGAACGTGTACCAGATGGCTATTTGTTGTTGTTGTTGTTGTTGTTGTTGTTGTTAATGTTAATCCTCACCCAAGGATATTTTTCCGTTGATTTTTTAGAGAGAGTGGAAGGGTGGGGGAGGGACAGAGAGAGAGACACATCAATTGGTTGCCTCCCGGCACGTGCCATGACCAGGTTGGAGCCTGTAACTGAGGTACATGCTCTTGACTGGAATCAAACCTGAGACCCTTCAGTTCTTGGGCTGACACTCTATCCATTGAACAAAACTGGCTAGGGCTAAATGGCTATTTTTTTTTAAGAGTCAATGCATGGAATAAAATTCTTTCCCCGTTGGCACAAATCTTTCTCCTGTATTTAGTAGGTACATGTTTGCAGAACTCATTATTTGCAGATTTATTTTTTAGCTTGATAGACTACTACTTGATAGACTATGAGTTTAGCATTTCTTAAGCCTGGATGTGCATTATAGAGCTTCACAAAACAGTAACAAAACCACCACACAACAAAAATACAGCAATGCTAGGGTTCTACTCTACTGGATCGATTAAATCAGAATGTATTGGAGTAGGGCCAGGCCTCAGCGTTTTTAAGTTTCTCAGATAGATCTGATGTACAGCCCAGAGAGACAGAGAGAACTGCTGAGTTTTCACATCATGAAGCATCAGAGTTTTATTGGAGTTTTCTCTATACTAGAGGCCTGGTGCATGGATTCGTGCACTGTTGGGGTCCATCAGCGTGGTCTGTGGGGATTGGGCTGAAACCAGCATCCAACATCCCCCGAGGGATGTAGTAGTGTGCGAAGCGGCAGGTGGTGAGGGAGGAGCCGCTCCCACTCATCCCAGGCCTGTTCACCCCAGTCATCTGAGCAGGGCTCCCACTATGGGAGCACACTGACCACCAGAGGGCAGCTCCAGCATTGAGTGTCTTCCCCCTAGTGGTCAGTGCGTGTCATGGCAACCGGTTAGACGGTCGGACACTTAGCATATTAGCCTTTTATATATATAGATACTCATGTTGAATGACAGTCTTGGGTAGACTTGCTTAAGCAGAACTCTTGACTTTTCAAATTATATATGCAGTAGTAGTCATTACACAAGTGCATCTGGAATAATATCTATTCAAGCAAGTGTTTTGCTTCTAATATTCATTAGGATCCAAATACTAAGAATGTAGTATGTAATAAGGATTAGCCCATTAGTTTGTAGACTAGATTATCAGGCAGCATTTTGCTCTTAGAGTAATGGAGTGAAACTGGATACAAATCTATTGAGCCAATTCAGTGGAAAACCACATTTGCAGTAAATCTGTAGAGCTACCAAACTCTCAAAAGTTTTTTATCATATGGATTCTATATTTGATGTAAAATTTTCTGTGATTTGCTATTAGTTTAAGACTTTTTGTTTGCTTGTTTTCTAAGCATCCTTTAGTTTTTGGCCTGGAGAAATGTTAAGGGAATTAGAATGTTTCTATAACTGTGACCTTTTTGTGAATAATCTAATCTGCCAAGGAAACTTTTGTAGTAATGTATATTAGGAAAAGAATGAAGTTGTCATAGTGGTTAAAAAGGCAGTCTCTAGAGCCAGGTTCTTTGGGTTTGAAGGTTGGCTGTGCTATTTACTAGATGTTTGAACTCAGGTAAGTCACTTATCCTTTGCAAATCCCACACTCCTCGTATTAAAATGGAGGTTATAATAGTACCCGCCTCATAAAGTTGTAGTGGTTAACTGAGATAGTATATATAAAACATTTAGCACAGTGCTTGTCATATAGTAGGCTCTTAATAAACATTAGTTGATATTTTACAATGGGAATATAGGTGAAATACATAGCTAAATAATTATTTTCTCCCCCTAGAAACTAGTATCTGTAAAAGGGAGCAC